TATTAGAAGTGTCCATAAAAAGTTTCTATTCATAACGTCTGTAGATTATATGAAATTCTTAACGCCTAATTTGTGCCATCTGACATCACAAAATCTTAGCAGATTTCGAAGGAATCAGCTTGTTAGGTAGCTGTGCACAGATACAAATGATTTAAGATTACACTGCTGTGATTTTGTGAAAAATGTGTTTTACTTGTTTTTTAGTTTAGAAGAAACATTTCAAAAATGGATTATGAAAAGAGAACAAAAGAAAAAATATAGTTAGGTTTAAGTTTATAACAGCTTCATTCTACTGATACTAGTTGTAGATTTTAACCAAGATCGAATTATTTTATAAATTGAGAGTTTCAGAGGATGCTTAACTCAGATAAGTGGTTTTGCTCGATCATGTACACACAATATTTACCCTCTAGCCATTTGTCATTCTTAAAACAATGTAGGTGATCAAATCTCAAAATAGTATCTAAGGCAGTGCTTCTCAAACTTTTAACGAACGTACAGAGGATCTCATTAAGCTGTAGATTCTTCATCAGTGGGTTGGGTGGAACCTGAGGTTCTGCAGTTCTGACTAGCCCCTGGGTGTGGTCAGTGCTGTTGGGACAAGGCCCACACTTTTGAGTAGCAGGGGTACAAAAGAATTGGTAGCAACCATACTTTGAAGTTTCTAAACTTTATCACAGTATCAGTGTCAATGTTAATCTGTTTCTGAGTATATTATTTTTAGTTGTTTATTTTACTAACCTACCTGAGCACTAACCTTCTACTAGTGCTTTCACAAATTAGCAGCATAAAATTCATCCTGAACTTTGAAGATCAATGTAAGAAAGTCATCAGTGTTTTGGTTACTATAAAATGCATTTTGATTACATTGTTCAGTGTTTCTTAAATAAGGGTTATAGATAAAGCATTTGAGAATAAAACATACAACCAATAATTTGAAGCATGTCTTAGAACGTATTAGGATGAGCTTTGGCTGATAAATATTGCTTATTATTTGCTTTGGTTTATATTGACAGAGATGACTATCTTATGGCTTAAATAAAAATTGATTGCATGGAGAGGTTTTTAGTAGTTAATATTTTGAGGCATTTGGTTACAGGAATGAGATTTTATTTTATTTTGTAATTATCACGCTGCTCCTCTTCCCCCAGGAGCCAGTATGTCTACACTTACTGAGTTCCTTTTTTAGTTCATTCTCCCTCTTTTGTTTTTTGGTTTTGTTTTTGTTTTTGACAGGCCAGGTGTTTGTTTACTGGCAGGTTGCAGTGCCGCACAGCTCCTCAGAGCCTGGCCGGCCAGCAGGCACCCAGGGTGCAGCGCTCAGCCTGCAGCGAGAGGGTCTCTGTTCACATGTCCAGGTTTCTGGTTTATTCTTTCTCTACGCTGATAGCTCTCTGCAGGTTGAAGTAGTGGTCCAGAAACATTTTTATCATTTCTATTCCTTGCCTTCAAACCTGCAGTGTCTGCTTGCCGCATCTCTTCATTACTTATCAGTGAAAACCAAACTCCCAAGCCGGGCGCGGTGGCTCAAGCCTGTAATCCCAGCACTTTGGGAGGCCGAGGCGGGTGGATCACGAGGTCAAGAGATCGAGACCATGCTGGTCAACACGGTGAAACCCCGTCTCTACTAAAGCTACAAAAAATTAGCTGGGCATGGTGGCGCGTGCCTGTAATCCCAGCTGCTCAGGAGGCTGAGGCAGGAGAGTTGCCTGAACCCAGGAGGCGGAGGTTGCGGTGAGCTGAGATTGCGCCATTGCACTCCAGCCTGGGTAACAAGAACGAAACTCCGTCTCAAAAAAAAAAAAAAAAAAACCAAACTCCCTGTTAAAGCTCTTAACCTAGACCTGTCATCTTCACTTAACTGAACTCTTGTCTCATTTTTAATAAAACATACTCATGACTCATTTACCATGAAGTTTTCCTATTTTAAATATTGGGCTAGCAATGGAATGAAATATTTGAGGGCTTTTTGTGTACCAGGAGTCACAGTCCTGGTTGCTTTTATATATGTTACTGAATTTAATCATTTAAACTCTGGAAAGTAAGTAAATCAGTCCTGCTTTATTGAAGGTGGAGTAGATTGATAAAATTTGCCCATGCAATCCAGATTGCCATTGGCAGAGCTGGAATTTTAATATACATCTGCCTTGCTTTTTTTTTCCCCCCCACAGAGGAGACTTTTAAAAGGAGGAAGCATCTGGGTCTTTAAAAGGTTGGATAGAAATTAGGTGTTTTGTGGGCCAGCTGGGGAAAAGATTACTCCTGAAGAAAGAGTAACCTGACTACCGCCTGCCTGCCTGTCTACCTGCCTCTCTACCTCCCTCCCTCCCTTTCTCCCTTCTTTCTTCCCTTTTCTTCCTCCTTCCCTCCCCTCCCTACATTCTCTCTCCTCTTCCCCTCCCCTCCTCCCTCCCTATGTTGCCCAGGCTGGAGTGCAGGGCACAATCTCAGCCCGTTATGTAATTATTTCCTAGGCTCAAGCAATCCTCTCACCTCAGCCTCCCAAGTATCTGGGACCACAGGTATGCACCACATGCCTGGCTCATATTTTATATTTTTCATAGAAATGGGATTTCACTGTGTTGTCCAGCCTGGTCTCAAACTGAGCTCAAATGATCTACCTGTCTCTGCCTCCCAATGTGCTAGAATTAAAGATGTGAGCCACCATGCCTGGCCTTTTGTGGTTTTCTTAATAACATTTTCTTTTCTTTAACTTACTTTATTGTAAGAATACAGTATATAACATACAACATAATGGACTGTCAACAGTAGGCTGTCAGTAATTAAGTTTTTGGGAATAAAAAGTTATATGTGGATATTTGACTGTGTGGGAGGGTTGGTGCCCCTAACTCTTGCATCATTCATGGGCCAACAGTATACTGTTGCAAATTGATAAAAACAGCATTTATTTTTCATGGTTTAATCTTATAGAATAAATGTTAACAAAATATTCTCAAGTTAATTTTATTCTACATTTTCTTTGGCATCTAAATGGGCGCATGTATTTTTTTTTTTTCTTTTCTGAGACACAGTTTCACTCTGTAACCCAGGCTGGAGCACAGTGGTACAATCTTGGTACAAACCTCTGCCTCCTGTGTTCAAGCGATTCTCCTGCCTCAGCCTCCTGAGAAGCTGGGATTACAGGCATCCATGCCCGGCTAATTTTTGTATTTTTAGTGGAGATAAGGTTTCACCATGTTAGCCAGGATGGTCTCAAACTCCTGACCTCGTGATCCATCCACCTTGGGCTCCCAAAGTGCTGGGATTATAGGCGTGAGCCTCCCTGCTCAGCCATGTGCATGTATTTATAGTTGGAAAATTAGGTAATAGCATCTTTATTCCTTAAAAGAGATGTAGATCTTTTTTTCTCCCAGGCCAGGCACAGTGGCTCGCACCTGTAATCCCAGCACTTTGGGAGCCAGAGGTGGGTGGATCACTTTAGGTCAGGAGTTCAAGAGCAGCCTGGCCAACATGGGAAAAACCCCGTCTCTACTAAAAATGCAAAAAAATTAGCTGGGTGTGGTGGCACACACCTGTAATCCCAGCTACTTGGAAGGCTGAGGCATGAGAATTGCTTGAACTTGGAAGTTGGAGATTGCATTGAGCCAAGATCACAGCCCTGCACTCCAGCCTGGGTTACGGAGTGAGACCATCTCAAAAAAAAAAAAAAAAAAAAAGAATTTCCCATATTTAACTCCCATTCTAGCTAGAAAATGTGATTCTTAGTGTATTAGTGATAAGATAGAATTATTGGTGAGATAGCAGTCTATATCCATTTTAGGATAGTTAATGGTACAAAATATCATTTCTTTGCTGTTTCCATGGTTATCAGTAGGATTATTAAAGAAGAGAAAACTCAGATTTGAAACTTAGCTACCAAAAAAAATGTTTAGCCAAACATTTTGATATTAATTCTTTCTGTATACTTTCACTACACAAACACACACACACACTTTAAACAATTAGCCTTGTCGAGTACATACTGTTTTATAACCTAGTTTTTAAAACTGTGTTAATATTTTTCATATCATGTAGTCTTCTAAAACATTTTCAATAGCTGCTTGCAGTCCATCGTATGTAATCATGTTTAAGCAATTCCCTATCATTAAATGTTAAGTGGCTTTCAAATTTTTGCTGTAATAAATTATACTGAAGAGAGGTTTATATATAAAGTTTTGATTACTTCTGGCTATTAATGCAGCGTACTTTTTAAGGTAGTTTTATTTGTATAATATATTAAGTTTTTCTTCATTGAAACAATGAAACTTTGCTACAAGAAAAGTTAGTACTTATTGAAAGCTTTAATGTGCTAGATGCCTTGCAGTCTTATATTTCACAGAATTTTTAGCTGTTTTCATTCCCAACTTTACATATTAAGAAATCTATATGTATATGTGTATTAGTAGGTTAACAGTTATGTAGAAAATGTTCAGCAAATATCAGAGGGCTTTGTATAAGAACATGTTATTCAGCAGTCACAGGAGAAAATGAAAACTTAGAGATGAAGTTTTAAATTCTGCTTTGGCTTTGCAGTATATAAGAAGACGATTTTTTGGGTTTTGTGGTGTTTTACTTTAAAAAGGGCTAAAAATTACATTATTTGGCATTCTCACCTCTAGGAGAAAATAAATGTGATTTTTTTTTTTTTTTTAATCTTGGGTTTTAGTCTTATAGTTTCTCTCTTAGTGTACAAACTACATTGTACCTTTACATTAGAAGTGAGTAATAATTAACTTACAGTTGAAGATGATTTTCTTTCACTTAAAATTCCAGGCATAACCTTTTCAGATGTTACACTTGTAAGATCTAAAGGGTGAAAGTTGAGTGATTTAAGGGTGAAAAATGTCTGTTGCAAAGGGAGGGTGGTGGGAGCAGTGAGATGCTGTGACTTGTTGCTTTTACAGAGCTCACTTGGTACCCTTTGATTATGAGCCCACAAATAAGAATTGTTTTTGGAACCTGGTATTTGTTTCCTAATGCAGTGTTTTGTTTTGTCTTAGTCACATCGATCAGACAACAACATGGCAGGACCCCAGGAAGGCCATGCTGTCTCAGATGAACGTTACAGCCCCCACCAGTCCACCTGTGCAGCAGAATATGATGAATTCGGCCTCAGGTGAGTGAGACACTGTAATTACAGCACATGGAGTAATGCTTATGCATTGGTAAAAGTTGCTGTGGAAAACAGTCATTACTCTTTTACAGAAACTGGAGCATGGGTGATGTTGATTGTCTCTCCAGTTTCATACAGAAGACATATTCCATTTTAAAACAACGTAAGCTATTTTATTGCCTTGTATTAGCAGTTAATGCATAAGGGGGGCAAATAACTGAAAGCCACCAGTTCTTTAAGATTTGGTTCTGAAGCAAGTATCTCAAATTTTTAGTTCTGTTAATTTTGACATATTTGTGTTTATTCTGCTGCTTTCTTGTGTCTCAGGTAGTTTAGTTGAAGTTTCCTTCTTCCCTTTGTGGTTTGGATAGAAAGCCAAGTTATGGTGTTCTTATTTTTTTATTAAAAAATTTTTTTTGCTATGGTGTTCTTAACCCAACTCATAACATGGTTATTCATTCTACTCTGAAAATATCTGAAAGGCAGTAACTTTTGTAAAACCAAACGAGTATTTCTTATTCCCAGGGTGAGCATGGATTATTAAATACATCTTCACCTTTTTTTTTTTACAGAAGATAAACCTGAGTATAAATCTTTTTTTCTGCCCCTTATTTGTCAATTTACTTGAATCTGCAGTTTTTCTCATCTACATAATGGAGAGTAACAGTGCCCCTTATGATAGAAGGGAGGATATGAAAGAAAATAATGCAATTCATATGAAGCTTCACGTAATTACAGAGTATGCAGTAAGTGAAAGCTTAGCTCCTTCATCTTCCCTATCAGATACTGTCTAGCTTCTTTCTCCTTTGTTAGGTGGGTCCAAGGCCACAGTTAGTCCATTATGTACCTTCGTACGTGTTAGGACAAGGTGCCCTTCTTCTGGGAAATTGAGATTACAATGACCTGTGATTGCATCACCATACTCCAGCCTGGGTGACAGAGTGGGACCCTGTCTTTAAAAAAAAAAATTGTGTGTCTTATTTGTAAAGTATGAAATGTTTTAATATACTACATAAAAATTAGTAGGCATGCGTATACATGTCTATATATAAATAACATGTTTAAATGTCTAAATGATAGAGCTGTAAAGAGGTGACTTTGACACAGTTTCAGTGGAGTGGCAAAAAGCATGACTGGAGCGTTAGGAGTGAGGGGAAGAAGGAATAAAGGAGAGGGTTGTGAGGAGAGAGTTGAAAGGAGGAACTGAAATGGGAAAAGCCACTCCGAAGAGGCTTGAGCATGTTTACATGGTGCTGGAAGGTATTTGACAATAATAATTGTATAATAATAATTCTTGTTTATATCCCAGGCATGCTGTGAAGGTCCATTTTGCACTGTCTCATTTAAGATCCCATGTTCTTCATTGTACGTTAATCATAGATACGATAACTGACAGAGCAAAGCCTCAGAGAAAGCAGAAGCAACTGGGAGCCACTAATGAACGTCCTGGAGGCGTTATTTTTAAATACTATTGATAGTAGATAATATTGGGGAACTGCTTCTCCAGAAGGTGGTAGGTATAGAGATGATGTTTGCTTAAGGAGGCCTTGTTTCAAATAAAATACTGTTCCTTAGAGAGAAGAGAATATTCAAAGAGAACACTCCATTATGGGACAATCATACAGTATGTGGAGGGAAAGGAAGAGACTAGCTGACAGGTCCAATACCCAAAGGCTTTTTAAAACATCAACAACAACACTAATTCCAGGAAGCACCAAAACTTTCAAAATTAGAGTGAAGTGTTATGTTAAATAACACTGGGAATTAAATAAATTCTGATTCTGAATTCCCAGAATCAGAATATTCTGAATTTGGTCACATGGAGGCTTGCTGATCAAGTGCTGAGGGTATCGATAATATCTTTACAGCGAATGCCTCTTTTTCCTTTAAATTACATGCACTTGTTTGTTGTCTTTTCTTCCATTTCAGTGGAAGCCCATGGTTTTGATATGCTTTGGAATGAATGTCACTGTAATCTTGATATATCTCATGTTCACATATAATTATAGCCATAATGTCATGTTAATAAGTGAAGCAAAAGCATGCTCGTCTCTGCTTGAAAAAACGGTCTTTTAAGGAGTTTTTTAAATCTTAGAGACAGTGAACAAGGAGAATTGTGAGAGCATTTAAGTAAATTTTGAGGGCATTTAATCTAACAAAGCAGAAAATCGCTTCCCTGAAGCAGGCTATCTACAGAAAATTTTCACCCTTAAAGGGTTGCCTTCTGAATGGCTAACCCAAAGCTACACCGTGCTTCTGAAGTACTCTATTGGGTTAATCATGCTAAATACAACTTGATTTACATTTTTATTACTTATTAATTTAACAAGGACTTTCTCACTTTGCTTTTCTTGAAAAAGAATTCTCGTCATTCATAATTGAGTCCAGCTTCATGTTCTGCTCTGACTTCTTGTTTCTCATCAGACTGCTTTCCTTAAGTTACTGTCATTTTCTGTAGACTCCCCAAACCTGTTTTATGCATAATATTTGTGGTTGACTAGGCTGAAAGATCTTTTAAGATTCTTTCTAATTCTTAAGATTTTATGAAACTCTATTTCATTTTCTAATTTGCCTTAGCAAAAATGATGAGTTTAATTATGCTTTTATAAGTCCTTTTTCAAAATGTGAAGTTGAAATGGTGGATTTCATTTATAGACTAGAGACCAGTGGTTTTGTGATTGGGCAGATTTCCAAATATCTGTAACTGAGAATCACCCAAAACAAAGGTGCACTTGGAAAAGGTTCTAGAGGCAAGACTCAATACATCCTTGTAAGAAGATTAATTTATATTCTTTAACTGTGTCATTTAAGTGACAGGTAAGTGACAGCAAACTTTGTGAAAGAATTGGAAAGGTGAGGAAGAAGAAAATAGAAAAATAAGAGGAAATTGAATAATTTAGTAAGATAATGGTTTTATTTTACTTTATTCTGTATTAAAATATTCAATACATAAATATATGTGTATGTAAAGTCTAGTCTACTAAATTACTTGAGATGATTGCCCTTTAAAAGTTATAATGCGTAAGCCTGGATGTGGTGGCTCATACCTATAATCCCAGCACTTTGAGAGGCCAAGGTGGGAGGATTGCTTGAGCCTAGGAGTTCAAGACCAGCCTGGGCAACATAAGGAGAGCCTGACTCTATTAAAAATAAAAATAAAAATTAGCCAGGTATAGTGGCCATATGCCTGTGGTGCCAGCATTGTGGGTGACAGATTGGGAGGATCGCTTGAGCCCAAGAGGTCAAGGCTGCAGTGAGCCATGTTCGCACCACTGCATCCCAGCCTGGACAAGAGTGAGAACCTGTCTCAAAAATAAAAAAAGTTATATAAATTTGTTACTTTATATACACACACACATATATAATAGTTATTTGTTACTTGCTTAGGATCCATAGTTTTTCCCTACGTAGTGAGAAGGTAAACATTTCATGATTTTTGTGTTCAACATTAGAAAACAAAGCCCTGGGGAGTGAAAAGTGATACTTCTTTAGCTCTATTTTTATGATACATATTGAATTTTTTAATTTTAACACTGATCGACACAATTGCTGAATCTTCAAGTGACAGTAAAGTCAAAGTACATTCTGTGATAATCCAAAAATAACTGTATGCCAAATAGCTACTTAGGATCATTAAAAATTATGTCTTGATTTATATTAGGCAGAATTAACCCATTTATCTGCTTTTGAGAAATGTACATTTGATAACACCCCAAAGCCCACATGTCTTATTACAGGTACATTTTAGGAAATTCATTATTTGTATATTTTATTAGAAATTATTGGGATTGATTTGACAATTCTTAACTCTACCAATGTAGCACTTTCAGATTTCTCTTTTAAGAAAAACTGTGAGGAATTCCTAGGAAATAACCTCAGGGGATCGGTTGAGAAAATGCCCTCTTGATCATGAAAAGGTGATACATGTTAGAAGAGTGTGTTAAGCACCTTCCTTCGAGTGGGGAAAAGTGTTAAGAAGCAAGCAAAATGAGTAGTATAGAGCTGCCTTAACGTTCGCCTGTTGCAGTCTCCTGCCTGTGTAGTATCTCTCAGCACCAAAGATCAAATGAGAGATTGTTACCAAGAAAAATGAGAGGGCTAGAAAATAGATGTGAAATATAAGAATGATGGGTAAATCACGCATTAATTTAGGTTTTAACTTTATAAAGCACAGAGAGGGTAAAGATGTGTGAAAAGTTGCAGAGCCGACAGGGTTAAAATGTTGATAATTCCTACTTAATGTGTTGTAGTTCATAAACTTTGAAGTTCTACTTTTCACCTTTGAAAGAGAGACGATTTACAATAAGGGTTAATACCAAGGGCTCTTGAAATCCCATGGATCTGGTTTGAATCCCAGCCATCGTTTATCGTCCATGAAATCTTGGACAAGTTACCGTATCTACCTGTATTTGTCACTTGGAAAAATGAGATAATAACTCATAGAGCTGTTGTGAACATTAAATGACAGAATCCATATCACATAGTCAAAATGTATTATTAATAGTATATGGTGCTTGGTGTAGTGTCTTGCATATATAATAGGTAAATAAATGTGATCTAATATTTTACAATTTAATCAGTTTATAATACCAGGTAGCCACTGTTACTTTGTTAAAAATCTGTTACTGTCTTTGAAATTATGTTTATCTCTGTAAGCTTTTTATCATCAAGTTGGGGTCATTTGCTCTTATCCAAGTAGTTGGTTCCTGATTCTTCTAAAAGTTCTTGATTATTATAAGATGGAAATTGTCACTCAGAAGTCACAATATATGGGAAAAGACTATACTAATGAGAAACTTAATAGCAATGAACTATAACAAATAAAGCCCAAAGTCAGAGCAATGAAGAGACACAGACAATGTATTTGACTGGTTACTCTCAGGTTTGTATTCCAGATATCTTTTTAAAAAACTTTTTTAATAAAAACACTTTTTTAAAAAAAAGCAAAATTGCTATTTTCTATTTCCCATCTAGAAATTTGGTAAATTAAGAGAAATGGCCCT